GAAAAAGTAGTGTTTGAACAATTTCTAGGAAACTTGGAAAAGCATTACAAATATTGTAAAAACAATTGAAAATTAAAATTATTTGCAACATCAGATTGAATCTGTCTAAAACAAAATCAATCTAGTAAATGAACAACTATTAAATAAAAGAGAGTTAGATCCTTTTGTTCAAAGTATTCATCATCATACAACTATCTTGATCCAAAATCAAGAAGAGCTATTAAAACAAGTTCAAAAGCTTCAAAGATTAAGTCTTGGTTTGAATGGGTGAAACCTCTTTTATTCAAAATACAAGCTATCAAGAAATTTTAATGGAAGTAGGAATATTAGGAAATCCCTATGAAATTAACAAATTTTCAACCTATAGCAATTCAAGTTTAAGTACCAATCAAATAGTAAAATATGTAAATTAGTTGGTACTCCAAATTCTTAAAGTTGAAATCTCAATTTCTTAAGTATCACAAATGAAAATTGTTTATGAAACTCAAATGGATGGGACTCAATTCAAATATGAAAAATACTTAAGAGATGCAAAATTTTCTTTCTGGGATTTGGGATTATAAACTTTTGGAGAAAAATACATCTTACCTTAAGTAATTGTACATAATATCCAAAATAATTATCCCTTTATAATTGGCCTAAATTTTGTCACTAACTTTCAAGGTTAGATGACAATTTCTTCTAATGGGGTACAATTTGTCGAACAACTTTATTACACCCCAACAGATGAATATGTCATGAATCTTCCAAAAACAAATGAAATATCACCACAACAAATCCTAAATAAGCTAAATAAGCTAAATAAGCATTTTGAATATAATAGTTATTATTTGAATGATAAAAAATTTTTCAATGATTTATTAAAATATGATGATATGCAAAACTCTTCACAAGAGTCTTTAGAAGAATTCAAAGATTCTATAGATTATCAATTTTTTGATAGATTGATAAATGATGAAGTAGGAATATTTGTAAATATAGAAAATAGTCTTTTTAATTTACAAAAAGAAGAAAACAAAAGAAAAAAAAATAAAAGACTACAAAAAAAAAAAGAAAAAAAGAATCTAGATGAGTTAATCAAAATAGTTGATGAAACTCAAGCCTTAAGAGAGGAACCAATCAAATATTGGGATTGTAATAAATGTATGGCAAAATTAGAATAATAAATCCACAAATAAAAACTACTTGTGGCAAGATGGATCACAATTCACTGAATAGGTAAGAATTTAAAATTCAAATAAAAGAACTGTTAGCATTGCAAGTAATAAAACATTCTAGTTCTAGGCATTCTTCTACAACCCTCATGGTAAAAAACCACTGAGAAATTAAAATGTGAAAGACTAGAATGGTCATAAATTATAATAATAAAAAAAAAACTAAATGATAATACTTATGAAGATGTATATAGGATACCATATAAAGAACAATTAAACAACTACATTCAAAGTTCAAAAATCTTCAATAAGTTTGATTGTAAGTCTAGTTTGAACCTCTGAATTTAACTTAAACAACTTAGCTTAGTATTTAACAAAATATACTAAATTTAATTACCATGTCCTAATCAAGGGAAATGCTAGGCAGTGGGACCAAATTTTGTTCTGAATACAAAATTTTAGAAGACCACTTTATAGAGGGCTTTATCTAATAGAAGAAGCTATTTAATTTGCTCAAAAGTAATTTGGAGATAGCTTTTCATTACCCTTTATTTAACTCCAAACTTGCAAGATCTTCCAATCGGAGCAATGAAGACCACCTTAGCCCCATTGGCAGGTGGAAGAAAATTAATTCCCACACTAGGAGTTAATAAATACTTTATTAAAGAATCCTCTAACAATTCATCATCTATTCCACTGAAGGCAACTCAAGATATATTTCAATTTGAGAATTCCCTTGCCAAAGTTGCTTGAAGATTCAAAATAGCTAGTTTTTCAAAAAGCAGAAGTCTCAGGCCATGCCAAATTGAAGTTAATTAAGCAATTCCTTCAATAATTGGCTCAAGATAATATTAATAGAGTTGGCATGGATTTTACTTGGGATACCTATTATTCCACAATAGAAAGAATTCAAATGAGGTAACAGGTGTGAGGGAGAAACTACGCATGAAATTCTGTTTGAATGATTTGACTGTCAATGTCAACTCATTTATAACGTTTGCAGAGTTTCTTTAGATCTATTCTCATATGATCCGGTTTAGTTCTTATTTGAAAGTCAACACTCAAAATTAATAAATACTTTGTTGAAGAATCTTTTAATAGTTCATCATCTATTCCACTAGTAAATGATCCCCAAAGGCAACTCAGGCTGTATTTCAATCCAAGAATTCACTTGCTAGAGTTACCTAAAGATTCAAGATAGCTAATCTTTCAAAAAGCAGAAGACTCAAACCAAAACTACATAAGGAATTTTGCTTGAACAATTTGACTATTAATGTCAACTCGTTTATAATATTTGTAGAGTTTCTCCAAATTTATTTTCGTATGATCCAATGTAGTTCTTATTTGAAGGAGAAACCATTGAGTTAACTCCCCAATTACACTTGGATTATGCCTTTTTCCTTTCAAGTAATTTTTATAAAAATTAAGGATATAGATATGTTTGGAAGAAAGTTTGCTATAACTGTCCTAGAAAATATGCCTCCGAAATATGTTAAGGCATTAATTCAAAGCAAGGCACCTAAATAGAAAGGTAGGCATCAACTTCTAGCATAACATCAGATCATTTCAAAAAGAAGAAGTAAACTACCACCTCTCTACAAAGACGTTCAAGTTTGGTCGTCCACTAACCATTCCCTCACCAAGCAACTTAAACACTGGAGAGCCATGACAATGGCACATATGCAAGTCAAGGGTGATGATTTTACAGTTAGACATACCCTCTTACCGATGATAAAATTCAAAAGATTTATCTTAGCCCTAATGTGTTTCATAACAACCAAAGTCTAAGAGAGATTCCCTTCATTCCTTAGACAAGCTACATTTAACTGTTACACCTTTATTTTGAGGAATACAAAAACGGAGAAGATTAATCTTAAAATTATACAACTGGAGTTAACATGGGTGATGACCTAGATGAAGAGATAAATTTCTTTAGTGATCTTGACTCTGTCAAATGGGAAAATCTTGAAAATCAAATGAAGGGATAATAATTGAATTAGATAACAGAACAAGGGTATACCCCACTCAAAAGTGACTGCCTATGTGACATGTTACTTTAAAGTTAGCCACTCTTTATCTTTCCAAAAAGATAAAAATGGCTAACCACAGAATCTTTAAAAGTTAGCTGTTTTTTATCTTTCCAGAAAGATAAGAACAACTAATCATGATTACTTTTGTAAATAAAAGTAAAGTTTGTTTACTATAGTTATTTTTTCTTGTAACTAGGTTAGTTTTTTATTATAAATAGGAGACACTTCTCAATGAGAAAGCAAAGATTGAAGAAGTGAGAAATTTGTTGGAACAACGGGATGAGAGGAATCCATCTTCTTCTTCAACTAGAACTCTTTGTAATCTACACTCTCCTAAATATGTATAAAGCTTCTTTATTCAATTTTCTTTAATGTGTTATTCAGTTTAAAAGAAATCTTCTGCAAAAAAAAAATAGTTTGTAACTTCTATTTGTCTAATTGTTCTATATATATTTATATATAGATAAAAGTTTCTTGTGCAAATAATTTTCAACTTCTTCCTTAAAGATCTTTAAGTATATTCATTTTTCAAAACCCACACTAGCATGGAGAGTGAGAGAGTTAAACCTAAATAGTCTACTATAAAAAAATTTCTTTACTACTTAGCCCTAATGGAAAGCATCCCTTTTAAGCCAAAGATGGCATCTTAAGTGAAATCACCAGGGATTGGGAAATCAAGCATTTCTTAATTGGATTGGTCACTGACTTTCTTGGAAAAGAGAGTGGTCAATTGAATTTTGAAAAACCAGGAAAGATTAGATATTAAAGGGTGGTTACAAACCTCCCACTAACACGCAACATGTAAAATATGACTATATCAAAGACTAAAGCTGTTTAGCAAGTACATATCAAGTGAACATGCCCATTTCAAGAAAATAGATATCTCACATATCAAGAAGCATGTATCAAGTTAATTTCTATTATATAGACAGGCTTAACCAAATATAATCTAACTTAAAATAAAACAAGATTTAATCATGATATTTAAATAAAAAACAGGTTTTTAATCCCACTATTATCCCAGAACTAGTAGAAACCATGCTTTAAAATTATGTTTTAAAATTAGAGATATATCTGTAATTTCACTTACCTTGCGTCACGAAAGAGCAAGAATAATGCAAAAACCAAGGACTAAAATGTAAAGGACAATCAAGAAACCTAAAAAGAGTAATCATGAATCAATAACTAATCGAATAGAAACTGAAAATCAAAATTACAAAAATACCCTTATCCTAGTCCACCTATGGCTTTCCTTAAATGTATTTCTATTCTTATTCCCTCAGGTTTCATTTAGTATGGTTTTAGTTTTTGGTTTTTATTCTTTATATATTTAGTAGTTAATACTATATTTTGATTAAATTAAATAAATTGTAATTCTTATAAAAAATTTTAATTTCTAAATATAATAGAACTTATTAATTATAAAAAAAATAAAAACTAAAAACCATACCCATACTAAACGGAACCTTAATAACTGATATATTCCTAAACTCCATTCTCACCAATATTTTATGTCCATGAATGTCATAATCCTTTTAAGAAATATTTCAAGATTTAATTATCTCTATAAACCAGAATTTTAATCTTTAAAGACTCAACCCTGAGACCTTCCCCACCATTAAACCAAACAGCTCCTTATTTTCACCTTTCGGTAGCCCCACAATTATTTTACCCCACCAACATGGAAGGAACAAACTCGGTAGAGTGCAGGAGGAATATCCACCAACAACTATGCAAGAACAATTATTTCTAACCACCGGATAGCCCTTGATTCGCCAACCAAAAACATACTTCAACAAACTAATATTCCCAGAATCTTTATACTAAAACTAAGATTGTAAGAGTTGCTACTCACCAAGTCTTTACATGGAAAATTTCAAAGTATGCCCAGGACTCAAGGCTGCACGAAACCATGTCCAAGATTGAGAAGAAATATATCGAGTGTTAAAAGGAAACCAGCAGAAAATTTTGAGCTAAATAAAGGGGAAACAGCCCCTAAAACTCAGAGGTGACCTTGGCCCAGAAAACTGCAAATTCTGATCTAACTCAGAAACCGGATTTTGCAACTGAACTTTCACCTAGATAACAACCAACTGGGTTGAATGCTCAATAGAAGAATTGTAATTCTGTATCTTAGCTTTTATAGCTTCAATAATCACCGCAATCTGACATCCATAGAGAAAGTTATGGTTAAAATACTACTGCAAGGTCAGGCTGTCAATTCAGATCAGAATCGGACTGTTTTCAAACCAGAATTTCGGCAGCTTAATGCACCAGAAAATGACAGCAACTAGCACCTAAAACACACCAGAATTTAACCAGATTTAAGAGGCAGAAACTGAGCCTTTACATGGGCTCTTAAGGCTGAAAAACGGAGGTAATGATCAAGAAAAGAAGGTGCTCACCAGAATTTTTAAGGGTTGAATTGAGTAACTTCAGCAACTAAACACCCCAGAGCAGCAACCAAAAGGACTGTAGAACAGAGTCGAAACGAACAGATTTTAACCCAGATAACTTTAACAAATTAAGAAAATGAGGAAGAAAAACCCCACGAACTCACCATTGACAAACAACAGGACAATACCAGATCAGTGAAGTTTTTGCACCAGAATCGGACAAGTCCGAGCCTTGAGTCTTCTTAAAATCCACGGAAGAAAACTCTGGATTTTTGAATCACCAACAGATTTAGAATTTATCAACAACAGGGCTGGTTCCTAAGGATCTTATTACAAAACTTGAAGATTAAGAGGAGTTCAAACTTACCAAGACATGGAATAGGGAGATTGACTCGACGGAGGGGAAGTGAAGGTGGGTGGAGTAGGAGAAAAGTGGACGTCCGCGTGAAGGAGAGAGATAATGATGCTACTCTCAAAATTCCAATATTTTGGAAATTAGCCCTTAGACTTCAAAAACGTTAGATAAATTATCCACCAATTTAAAACCCTTTTAAATAAGTCCTCTTTTCCCCTAACGATCAATCACATCCTCAATCTTTGAATTACTCATATAAGGCTATCATCAAACACTTAACCCAAAGGTATTTAAACTTCTAGCAAAACCATATAAGTTAATTATGACTATTAAAGTTTAAGTTAATTAGGACTTTCACAAGGTAAACTTTAAGTTAATTAAAGTGTCATTAAATTTTGTTATGCTAAATGTTTATTATGTTATTGTTTACACCATAAATTGCAAAACTTAAAATTATGCCACATGTCAATTTATT